AAATTCCGCAGCACATGGTCTTAAGATGTCTTAAGCAAGCATCCTAAGCCTTCTGGCTTCTGCCAGTCGTTTTCCTGCCGGGCTCAAGCCTTGACTTCAGGAGATCTATCAACCAGTCAGTCTGTGACTACAGTGCCTTTGTCTCCCATGACGTGTTTCTATCGTGTCGCTGCCGTGCTGTGTGCGTACCATGCGTCGGCGTATCGCGTGCAGCATTCAGAGGGAATGCAGGGAATGGAAATGCTCCAGGCAGGTCCTGAAGGGGACTTGCGAGCAGCCGCCGTAAAGTCCTTCAAACGGCCCGCTCCCGATTTTTCGAAGCTATCGTCACTTGATGATATCGGGAAGATCTTCTCTCCGAGGCTCGAACTTGACCGACATTCCAACACCAGTATCTTCGAACAAACACGAAGCCTTATGGAAGAAGAAAATCCATTTGCTTGGGCTCCGAACTGGTCCTCTTCTATCGGCTTCGGTGTGGACTTGAAGAATGAGTCTGGAGTGGACGCTCTAGGCTTGCGGAAGGAGTGGTTGTCACTTTGTTTGCAGTCCATTGTGATGCCTGAAGCGCCTGAAGGCCACGAAAAAGCTGGATTTGAGTGGATCAAAAGCGGCTCATGCGGTGCCGATGCTGATACTTGCTGGAAGCGCTGCCTACAGGTGAGCTTATTCCAATCAGATGGGAAGCCGAAGAGGACGAGGCCAGCATGCCCGATGCGGCCCGCATGCGTTTCAAGTTCTTGGGCAAGTGGCTGGCTCGAGCTTACATTATTAGTGGCATAGGGTATGCGCCAATGGGTCTGCATAGTCTGATCTACAAGAGTTTGCTGGCTGGTCATGCAGTTGCACCTGAGAGCGAGCCCTTCTACAGCGAGGAAGATACCATTCCTGCCGGTTCCCCAGTTTAGCAACGTGCAACAAAAACCAACACAACATGTGACACATTGTGACACCACGGAACAACATGTAACAACAACATGTAACAACAACATGTAACAACACGGAACAGATGAAAGCCGCTTTGGACTGCCATAGACCTAGCTTCAAATACACTCAGCCAAGTTGCTATAAACCTATCTACAAGGATGAAATGATGTGGGATGCTCTCTACCTGGCATGGGGCACTCTTGCTCCCGATGGTGCAAAAGCTGATGATACTGTTCCTTTTGCGCAAGCACGTGAATTCACAGAACTGCGATGTGAAGAGTCTTGGAAGCGCTTTGAACAGCCCGTGAGCTCCATGGTAGAGGGCTTTCATGAAGTCATACCCAGTGACTCTGAATTTTACAACTTGCTAAATGGAAATTCTGAGACACTTGCACACTTGATCGAAGGCAACTCGGAGGTGGATCTAGATGAGTTGTGGAAAGCAATTGAGTGGCGCGCGGGGTGGAAGGACGAGGAGAAGGAAGTGCTTCGTCAGGCGTTGGAGGAGATGCAGGAGGAGGGAAAGGACTTGCCACCTGTGAAGCGACCTTTGAACAAACTCTTACGTTTCTTTACTGGCTCTTTCAAGCAGCCTGTAGAAGGATGGAAGAACTCAAAGGTGGAGTTTCTCCTCAAGAGGACAGACAGGTGCATCCCTCTGATTGGAAAGACTTGCTTCAATGAATTGCGCATTCCTTCAGGATGCCTCGAAAGCTCTCACAAGTTGAAAGAGATGATTGCAGAGTCTGTGGTCTCAGAGGACTTTGCCATCGAGTAGTCTCCATATGTGGCCGGACGACACAGCCTACGCAGCCTGCGATGAGGCAAAGGCGACAAAAAGGCGACAAAAAGGATGCTCATTTTGAGTGTTCGTACAGCCGTGCATCCAAGTCCATCCTGGAAACCAAGTGCTTTGCAATCGGAGGATCATTGCAATAAATTGCAACTTCAGCTCGCATTCAGCACTTTCATGGCATTTCATGGCTATAGCATGGAAAATACGTAGTTAGTATATAGATGTTAGTATGTTAGTAGGTGTTAGTACGGCAGCATCTTCGTTTGATTTGCAGGTGGAACTACCGTCGTGGATCCAATGCTGCAAGGCATCTGGATGTTTCTGTTCTGTTTCTATTCTCTTTCTGTTCTGTTTCTGATGTTTCCAAAATTGTCCCCGAATTGATCAAAATGGGATTTCACCATCGCATCAGACAACTTCTCCGCCAGGCAGTGTGAAGGTCTTCGCCTCGGGTCAAGGCAGGTGGCCTGGCATAGCCTGGCATAGCCTGGCATAGTTGTGTTACGGTGTGGCAAAAGCTCAGCCAAAGCACAGCGGCATTGTCATGCATAGTCTATGTTGACATGTGAGCAAAAGCTCAGGATATCTGCAGAGTGTTGGACTTCTATAGGATCTTCATGTCATTTCTTCGTTGTCCACATTGTGTCCACATGCCAGACTTCAGCCAGGCCGGAGCTCGACTTCAGGGACTGGACCCGAGAAACCTCAGAGACCCGAGACTTTCAGGCGTGTTGTGCCCCAGTCATGCGGCTGCATAGAGTGATCAGTCTAAGTTTTGACACATGTAGGCTGCAAACATTCTGAAGCGGTTTTCGAAATCTTTCAGACACATTTGGGGCATTTTGGAACTTCCCTTCAGCTCGGGGAAGTGAAGCAGACCAATTCAGCCAGTTGCAAGAAACGACCACACACACAAGTACCATACAAATACAATCAGAATACCTTCACTCGCCCATCGAAAGATGCTTGATGATGGTCACGTTTGCTACAACGACCAACTATTTACATTTGCAGCATTTCTCCGCACATTTGTTCCAAACTGCAGATGCTCCGGGTGCATATGCACGCATTAATCCAGCGTTTGCCAAGGTTTAGCAGTTGATTGGAAGATCCATCTCTAAAAACTTCTCTGTTTTGCTGCTTTTGCTGGCTCATGAACCAGGCTGCAGCTTGAAGTAGGAACATAGAAAACAGAAAGGTCACATGCAGAGGTCGATTTGCAATTTCATTCAATGGAGTTGAATCTTGCATCAGGACAACTTGACAACTTGTCAAATATATGTAGCATTATGTGGCACTGTGGAACCACTATTTTTGTGACCAATTCAGCCACTTCTGCTGCGGACATGGATAACCATTCGTCTTCTTCGAGGAGTCGAAAAGGCAGGACTTCTTCGTCTTCTTCGAGGAGTCGAAAAGCCACGACTTCTTCGTCTTCTTCGAGGAGTCGCTCCCCGAGGGCCAAGCAGAAAGCGTTCCTGACTCGGAGCACCGCAGGATCAGCTGTTTTTGGCTTTTCTGATTCTAGAAACTTCGAGACATGTCTCCCTCGCTTCATTCTGTCACCTCTCCTTGTTGCTTTCTATGTTTTGCATTTTACAAAAAGTCTTTGCAACTGTACAATTAGGTCCTTTCAGTTTTTATTGGAATTTTCAGCATTCTGTCGAAACATGTTTCTACTGACCGAGGTCTTCCAGTGGTGCTCAAAGGTCCAGGCCATCTCCGCTACGTGGGCGGCTGTGGGGTTTTGACGTGAGCAAGTATGATGGGAATTGGAAAGGGGCGACGGTCGATTTCTTCAGGTGGCTTAGTTGCAAGACGTCACAAGACACTGGTCACATCACCAAATCATAAGTATTGAAGATCTGAACATGTATCTGAAGCCTATTTGAAATCTGTCAGCCCCAACGCTTGCAGTGAGGCGGTTGCAACGTTCTGACCCTAAAGATCCTCCGTTTGGGACCTATCATACAGTGAGGGATGAGGAGGGCCTCTACCATTCCACGCTGCAACTCACTGACAAAGCTCGAGCAGCTGCCCGTCTGAAAAAATTGCAATACAAAGGAGAAGGGGCGCGTACCAAAATAGCAGCAGAGCTATCAGCAGCTCGTGTGCTTTGGGATGATCCTCGTATAAGGGAGCAAGCCGCAAAGCTGCGGCCTGGGAAGACAGCTTTGAAGCGTAACAAAAACTATTTACAGCACAATGCCAGGCGCAAAGCGCAATGGTTGGGACGCCAGCCGGTGCATAGTGCACAAAAAAAGGAGGAAAGCAGAGGCATCCCTACCCTCTTAAAAATGGAATTGGAGGGGGGGGAGTCGTACTGAAATTTCATTTTAAAATTCCATTTTTGCAATCATGTTTTCTCAATGATCAATATTCCTCATCATTCCATGTCAATGGCAAGCAGGTGAAAATTAAATACTTGCGCTTAGCTCCTCCGCACATGTCAGACTGAAGCAGCACATGCGTAGGGATGGCATCCCTCCAAAAATTTGCGCTGCCGTGATCATACTTGCGCTTAGCTCCTCCGGAGCTAAGCGCAAGTATTTTCAAACCAGTGCCCAAGGCTTGTTAAGAAATGTTACTTTACAATTCCATTTGAGGGGTTGGATCACTATCCCAGGGTTTCCAAGCAAAAAAAAATGGAATTCGACAGGTTGGTTTTGTCCCCCCGCCCTCCCCCTCTATAGGGGTAGGGATGCAGAGGCTTTGAACGCTTTGAAGCGTAAGAAAGCCTGCGCAGAGCACAATGCCAGGCGCAAAGCGCAACGGGCGCAACGGTATGCGGCCGGTGCATAGAAAAGACGCAAAGCAGCGCAGAGCACTTTCACATTTTTTGTACTGAGCTTTGATCATGTACTTCTTTTGGCCCAGCGGTCACGTGGTTTGTTTTGACTAACTAACTGCATCGCTGTCTTGTGACTTCACCAGAAACGATGCGCCGATGCGCAGTGTTGTGAAGCAACTTAGAAAGATACCTGAACCATCCTGAACCACAGGCTTCAGATGCAATTCTTTGACGGCCGGGTGCGGCAGTGCGGTGCCCTACGTGGCAGGATGTCAGAGCTGTGAATCACAGTGAAACATGGTGAAGCTGAGACCTGACCAAGCCAACTTATACAATAATATACAATCAACTTAATCATGTGAAATCTCAAAGCAGAAGCTGGCAGAACCTGTGCGTTTTATGGCAAAAGATGTGTGTTTTATAAATGTAGAGGCTAAGAAAGATTTTCAAGTGAATTAAAAAGCAGGTCAGGTGAACACACCTGAACAGCAAACTTCACTGACTGATTGCTGAGGGGTTCACTCAACATGTTCAAATAAGCCACCAATCCGCCTTCTGCAAGGCATTTGCATGCCTTGTTGGGAAATGGTGGAAGGCATGGCTGCCTTCAACCACAAAACTGGGGGTTCGGTTTTGCACAGATTGGCAGATGGACACACACGTCACTTCTAGGCAGTGCACGATGGGAAGAGCACGTGGCAAAGACATGAGAAGACCATGGATGTAGCAACATGTTGGGCACAACGTGCTCTTGTGCCTTTCTTAGGTCAAGCCTCAAACTAGAACAAATGCTGCCATCATAGCAGATATACCCACAACATCCCACAACTTTAAGTGTTCTGGAACTAGTGCCACGGTTTGTTCCTTGGACATATGTGGGACGATTCTTGCTGCCTTGACACATTGTTCATTCGGCGCTGAATGAGGCAGCGGCTGAAAGCTGCCCTGACCATGGTTCACACGTGTCTCCTGCATGTCTTGGTGTGCAAGTTCCTGCAGAGCAGTTCCGACACTGTCCCACATCAAGAAAAAATCGCACCCAACTACCAGATTTATTTTTTCTGCAGGTGCACCCTTCACGAGACGAGACAGGACCTGCGGCTCTGGACATTTTGGTGTTTGGATGCATTCATGCATAAGCCGGATCAAGCCGGCAAGTTCACACTTTTGCCGAAAGTTGCACGTTTCTAGAGTCCGCGCCCCACGGGGAACGTCAAAGCAATTCGAAGATATCAAGAGCGTAAGAAGGAATGGGGTCGCTGAAAATTGTTGAGAAACAGGAGGTTGCATTGGGCTAGACTACTTGGGGAATGGCATGGAATGGCCAGATCAGAATCATTTTATGTCGAATCATGTCGAATCAGTGTCACAGGATCCGGCATGGGATGCATGGGGTTTCAGGTGCCATTGATCAGGTCAATCAGGTTGTATCCGGTTGGGATGGTCACGGTGCAAGGGATTTTCAGGTCATCATGGTCCTTTTTGTCGCATGTGGGCGGGACGCTCCAAATGGTGGGTGGAGGAATTACATGGAATTACTGTACAGGATCCGAACATATCCAACCCCCTTGCTACTTGGGGCCGATCATTTTCTACGTTCATCCATTTGTCATCATTTTTCTATATCTTGCAACTCCTTAAGTAAAGATCTGACACAATACAAAAAGAAACATGTCAGCGGCGTCCTCTCAATTCTGTCAGACGAACACGGACGGTTCATGACCTTTCCGATTTTGTTACATCACCTGCAGCCTGTCCATCCGATGTCCATCGTACACCCTCTTACCGCTGCTCTTGAACAATTTTGTGCGAGTAAAGTCGGCATTTCTCCAACTTGTGGCACGCGTTTTGATACTGTCGTTCTTTCTTGACATGGTTTGACTCGGTCAGCTGAAAGGCCGTGTTCAATTACAATAGACATAAAGTATCATAATTCAAAATGTGGTGTTTCGGATTAGAATGGGTTTGTATCTAGATGTGATTAGGTTGTTCTGCAAGTTGTGAATTCACTCAGGTTTTGCCTGGCCATTGATTTCTGCCTTTGGAAGTTCACATTGTCACCCCAGGATGTGAAGAATTGGTGCGCCACTTATTTTGCACCACCACAGAGCCAAAGTGAAAAATATCAAAAAATCTGCAAGCCTGAGGGCCATGAGGGAAGGGTGGAAGTGCTCGCAGCAAGGCCAGCTTATCTCCTGACGTTGCTCAAAGGTTTTGACTCGGACATTTCTCATCAGGCGAGCATCAGACGGGAGTGTGCTGTGGTATGCTGCAGTGATTTCTTCTCATTTTGCAGTGCATATATTACATTATATTACATAATATTTCATCAGAGCAATACCTGGACCTTCAAACGCACCTGAAATTTGTGTGCAATTTGGATTTGTAAGTGATATAAATACAAAAAAAGGATAAACACAGGTACCAGTAGTACCGCGTTGGAGGAGAAGCAATTGAGTGGCGCGCGCGGTGGAAGGACGAGGAGAAGGAAGTGCTTCGTCAGGCGTTGGAGGAGATGCAGGAGGAGGGAAAGGACTTGCCACCTGTGAAGCGACCTTTGAACAAACTCTTACGTTTCTTTACTGGCTCTTTCAAGCAGCCTGTAGAAGGATGGAAGAACTCAAAGGTGGAGTTTCTCCTCAGGACAGACAGGTGCATCCCTCTGATTGGAAAGACTTGCTTCAATGAATTGCGCATTCCTTCAGGCCTCGAAAGCTCTCACAAGTTGAAAGAGATTGCAGAGTCCGTGGTCTCAGAGGATTTTGCCATCGAGTAGTCTCCATATGTGGCCGGACGACACAGCCTACGCAGCCTGCGATGAGGCAAAGGCGACAAAAAGGATGCTCATTTTGAGTGTTCGTACAGCCGCGCATCCAAGTCCATCCTGGAAACCAAGTGCTTTGCAATCGGAGGATCATTGCAATAAATTGCAACTTCAGCTCGTGTTCAGCACTTTCATGGCATTTCATGGCTATAGCATAGAAAATACGTAGTTAGTAGGTGTTAGTACGGCAGCACCTTCGTTTGATTTGCAGGTGGAACTACCGTCGTGGATCCAATGCTGCAAGGCATCTGGATGTTTCTGTTCTGTTTCTATTCTCTTTCTGTTCTGTTTCTGTTTCCAAAATTGTCCCGAATTGATCAAAATGGGATTTCACCATCGCATCAGACAACTTCTCCGCCAGGCAGTGTGAAGGTCTTCGCCTCGGGTCAAGGCAGGTGGCCTGGCATAGCCTGGCATAGTTGTGTTACGGCGTGGCAAAAGCTCAGCAAAAGCACAGCGGCACAGTCATGCATAGTCTATGTTGACATGTCAAAAGCTCAGGATATCTGCAGAGTGTTGGACTTCTATAGGATCTTCATGTCATTTCTTCATTTCTTTCGTTGTCCACATTGTGTCCACATGCCAGACTTCAGCCAGGCCGGAGCTCGACTTCAGGGACTGGACCCGAGAAACCTCAGAGACCCGAGACTTTCAGGCGTGTTGTGGCCGAGTCATACGGATGCGTAGAGTGATCAGTCTAAGTTTTGACACATGTAAGGATGCACACATTCTGAAGCGGTTTTCGAAATCTTTCAGACACATTGGGGCATTTTGGAACTTCCCTTCAGCTCGGGGAAGTGAAGCAGATCAATTCAGCCAGTTGCAAGAAACGACCACACATACAAGTACCATACAAATACGATCAGAATACCTTCACTCGCCCATCGAAAGATGCTTGATGATGGTCACGTTTGCTACAACGACCAACTATTTACATTTACAGCATTTCTCCGCACATTTGTTCCAAACTGCAGATGCTCCGGGTGCATATGCACGCATTAATCCAGCGTTTGCCAAGGTTTAGCAGTTGATTGGAAGATCCATCTCTAAAAACTTCTCTGTTTTGCTGCTTTTGCTGGCTCATGAACCAGGCTGCAGCTTGAAGTAGGAACATAGAAAACAGAAAGGTCACATGCAGAGGTCGATTTGCAATTTCATTCAATGGAGTTGAATCTTGCATCAGGACAACTTGACAACTTGTCAAATATATGTGGCATTATGTGGCACTGTGGCAGCAATATTTTTGTGACTTATTCATCCACTTCTGCTGCGGACATGGATTATTCGTCTTCTTCGAGGAGTCGAAAATCCAGGACTTCTTCGTCTTCTTCCAGGAGTCGAAAAGCCAGGACTTCTTCGTCTTCTTCGAGGAGTCGCTCCCCGAGGGCCAAGCAGAAAGCGTTCCTGACTCGGAGCACCGCAGGATCAGCTGTTTTTGGCTTTTCTGATTCTAGAAACTTCGAGACATGTCTCCCTCGCTTCATTCTGTCACCTCTCCTTGTCGTTTTCTATGTTTTGCATTTTACAAAAAGTCTTTGCAACTGTACAATTAGGTCCTTTCAGTTTTGTTGGAATTTTCAGCATTCTGTCGAAACATGTTTCTACTGACCGAGGTCTTCCAGTGGTGCCCAAAGGTCCAGGCCATCTCCGCTACGTGGGCGGCTGTGGGGTTTTGACGTGAACAAGTATGATGGAAATTGGAAAGGGGCGACGGTCGATTTCTTCAGGTGGCTTAGTTGCAAGACGTCACAACACACTGGTCACATCACCAAATCATAAGTATTGAAGATCTGAACATGTATCTGAAGCCTATTTGAAATCTGTCAGCCCCAACGCTTGCAGTGAGGCGGTTGCAACGTTCTGACCCTAAAGATCCTCCGTTTGGGACCTATCATACAGTGAGGGATGAGGATGGCCTCTATCATTCCACGCTGCAACTCACTGACAAAGCTCGAGCAGCTGCCCGTCTGAAAAAATTGCAATACAAAGGAGAAGGGGCGCGTACCATAAAAGCAGCAGAGCTATCAGCAGCTCGTGTGCTTTGGGATGATCCCTGTATAAGGGAGCAAGCCGCAAAGCTGCGGCCTGGGAAGACAGCTTTGAAGCATAACAAAAACTATTTACAGCACAATGCCAGGCGCAAAGCGCTATGGTTGGGACGCCAGCCGGTGCATAGTGCACAAAAAAAGGAGGAAAGAGGTTAGCGTAAGAAAGCCTGCGCAGAGCACAATGCCAGGCGCAAAGCGCAACAGGCGCAACGGTATGGGGCCGGTGCATAGAAAAGACGCAAAGCAGCGCAGAGCACTTTCACATTTTTGGTACCGAGCTTTGATCATGTACTTCTTTTGGCCCAGCGGTCACGTGGTTTGTTTTGACTAACTGCATCGCTGTCTTGTGACTTCACCAGAAACGATGCGCCGATGCGCAGTGTTGTGAAGCAACTTACAAAGATACCTGAACCATCCTGAACCACAGGCTCAATTCTTTGACGGCCAGGTGCGGCAGTGCGGTGCCCTACGTGGCAGGATGTCAGAGCTGTGAATCACAGTGAAACATGGTGAAACTGCGACCTGATCAAGCCAACTTGTACAATCATATACAATCAACTTAATCATGTGAAATCTCAAAGCAGAAGCTGGCAGAACCTGTGCGTTTTCTGGCAAAAGATGTGTGTTTTATAAATGTAGAGGCTAAGAAAGATTTTCAAGTGAATTAAAAAGCAGGTCAGGTGAACAAACCTGAACAGCAAACTTCACTGACTGATTGCTGAGGGGTTCACTCAACATGTTCAAATAAGCCACCAATCCGCCTTCTGCAAGGCATTTGCATGCCTTGTTGGGAAATGGTGGAAGGCATGGCTGCCTTCAACCACAAAACTGGGGGTTCGGTTTTGCACAGATTGGCAGATGGACACACACGTCACTTCTAGGCAGTGCACGATGGGAAGAGCACGTGGCAAAGACATAAGAAGACCATGGATGTAGCAACATGTTGGGCACAGCGTGCTCTTGTGCCTTTCTTAGGTCAAGACTCAAACTAGAACAAATGCTGCCATCATAGCAGATATACCCACAACTTTAAGTGTTCTGGAACTAGTGCCACGGTTTGTTCCTTGGACATATGTGGGACGATTCTTGCTGCCTTGACACATTGTTCATTCGGCGCTGAATGAGGCAGCGGCTGAAAGCTGCCCTGACCATGGTTCACACGTGTCTCCTGCATGTCTTGGTGTGCAAGTTCCTGCAGAGCAGTTCCGACACTGTCCCACATCAAGAAAAAATCGCACCCAACTACCAGATTTATTTTTTCTGCAGGTGCACCCTTCACGAGACGAGACAGGACCTGCGGCTCTGGACATTTTGGTGTTTGGATGCATTCATGCATAAGCCGGATCAAGCCGGCAAGTTCACACTTTTGCCGAAAGTTGCACGTTTCTAGAGTCCGCGCCCCACGGGGAACGTCAAAGCAATTCGAAGATATCAAGAGCGTAAGAAGGAATGGGGTCGCTGAAAATTGTTGAGAAACAGGAGGTTGCATTGGGCTAGACTACTTGGGGAATGGCATGGAATGGCCAGATCAGAATCATTTTATGTCGAATCATGTCGAATCAGTGTCACAGGATCCGGCATGGGATGCATGGGGTTTCAGGTGCCATTGATCAGGTCAATCAGGTTGTATCCGGTTGGGATGGTCACGGTGCAAGGGATTTTCAGGTCATCATGGTCCTTTTTGTCGCATGTGGGCGGGACGCTCCAAATGGTGGGTGGAGGAATTACATGGAATTACTGTACAGGATCCGAACATATCCAACCCCCTTGCTACTTGGGGCCGATCATTTTCTACGTTCATCCATTTGTCATCATTTTTCTATATCTTGCAACTCCTTAAGTAAAGATCTGACACAATACAAAAAGAAACATGTCAGCGGCGTCCTCTCAATTCTGTCAGGCGAACACGGACGGTTCATGACCTTTCCGATTTTGTTACATCACCTGCAGCCTGTCCATCCGATGTCCATCGTACACCCTCTTACCGCTGCTCTTGAACAATTTTGTGCGAGTAAAGTCGGCATTTCTCCAACTTGTGGCACGCGTTTTGATACTGTCGTTCTTTCTTGACATGGTTTGACTCGGTCAGCTGAAAGGCCGTGTTCAATTACAATAGACATAAAGTATCATAATTCAAAATGTGGTGTTTCGGATTAGAATGGGTTTGTATCTAGATGTGATTAGGTTGTTCTGCAAGTTGTGAATTCACTCAGGTTTTGCCTGGCCATTGATTTCTGCCTTTGGAAGTTCACATTGTCACCCCAGGATGTGAAGAATTGGTGCGCCACTTATTTTGCACCACCACAGAGCCAAAGTGAAAAATATCAAAAAATCTGCAAGCCTGAGGGCCATGAGGGAAGGGTGGAAGTGCTCGCAGCAAGGCCAGCTTATCTCCTGACGTTGCTCAAAGGTTTTGACTCGGACATTTCTCATCAGGCGAGCATCAGACGGGAGTGTGCTGTGGTATGCTGCAGTGATTTCTTCTCATTTTGCAGTGCATATATTACATTATATTACATAATATTTCATCAGAGCAATACCTGGACCTTCAAACGCACCTGAAATTTGTGTGCAATTTGGATTTGTAAGTGATATAAATACAAAAAAAGGATAAACACAGGTACCAGTAGTACCGCGTTGGAGGAGAAGCAATTGAGTGGCGCGCGCGGTGGAAGGACGAGGAGAAGGAAGTGCTTCGTCAGGCGTTGGAGGAGATGCAGGAGGAGGGAAAGGACTTGCCACCTGTGAAGCGACCTTTGAACAAACTCTTACGTTTCTTTACTGGCTCTTTCAAGCAGCCTGTAGAAGGATGGAAGAACTCAAAGGTGGAGTTTCTCCTCAAGAGGACAGACAGGTGCCCTCTGATTGGAAAGACTTGCTTCAATGAATTGCGCATTCCTTCAGATTCCTTCAGGATGCCTCGAAAGCTCTCACAAGTTGAAAGAGATGATTGCAGAGTCCGTGGTCTCAGAGGATTTTGCCATCGAGTAGTCTCCATATGTGGCCGGACGACACAGCCTACGCAGCCTGCGATGAGGCAAAGGCGACAAAAAGGATGCTCATTTTGAGTGTTCGTACAGCCGCGCATCCAAGTCCATCCTGGAAACCAAGTGCTTTGCAATCGGAGGATCATTGCAATAAATTGCAACTTCAGCTCGTGTTCAGCACTTTCATGGCATTTCATGGCTATAGCATAGAAAATACGTAGTTAGTAGGTGTTAGTACGGCAGCACCTTCGTTTGATTTGCAGGTGGAACTACCGTCGTGGATCCAATGCTGCAAGGCATCTGGATGTTTCTGTTCTGTTTCTATTCTCTTTCTGTTCTGTTTCTGTTTCCAAAATTGTCCCGAATTGATCAAAATGGGATTTCACCATCGCATCAGACAACTTCTCCGCCAGGCAGTGTGAAGGTCTTCGCCTCGGGTCAAGGCAGGTGGCCTGGCATAGCCTGGCATAGCCTGGCATAGTTGTGTTACGGCGTGGCAAAAGCTCAGCAAAAGCACAGCGGCACAGTCATGCATAGTCTATGTTGACATGTCAAAAGCTCAGGATATCTGCAGAGTGTTGGACTTCTATAGGATCTTCATGTCATTTCTTCATTTCTTTCGTTGTCCACATTGTGTCCACATGCCAGACTTCAGCCAGGCCGGAGCTCGACTTCAGGGACTGGACCCGAGAAACCTCAGAGACCCGAGACTTTCAGGCGTGTTGTGCCCCAGTCATGCGGCTGCATAGAGTGATCAGTCTAAGTTTTGACACATGTAGGCTGCAAACATTCTGAAGCGGTTTTCGAAATCTTTCAGACACATTTGGGGCATTTTGGAACTTCCCTTCAGCTCGGGGAAGTGAAGCAGACCAATTCAGCCAGTTGCAAGAAACGACCACACACACAAGTACCATACAAATACAATCAGAATACCTTCACTCGCCCATCGAAAGATGCTTGATGATGGTCACGTTTGCTACAACGACCAACTATTTACATTTGCAGCATTTCTCCGCACATTTGTTCCAAACTGCAGATGCTCCGGGTGCATATGCACGCATTAATCCAGCGTTTGCCAAGGTTTAGCAGTTGATTGGAAGATCCATCTCTAAAAACTTCTCTGTTTTGCTGCTTTTGCTGGCTCATGAACCAGGCTGCAGCTTGAAGTAGGAACATAGAAAACAGAAAGGTCACATGCAGAGGTCGATTTGCAATTTCATTCAATGGAGTTGAATCTTGCATCAGGACAACTTGACAACTTGTCAAATATATGTGGCATTATGTGGCACTGTGGCACCAATATTTTTGTGAAAAAATCATCCACTTGTGCTGCGGAAATGGATTCTTCGTCTTCTTCGAGGAGTCGAAAAGCCAGGAGGACTTCTTCGTCTTCTTCGAGGAGTCAAAAAGCCAGGACTTCTTCGTCTTCTTCGAGGAGTCGCTCCCCGAGGGCCAAGCAGAAAGCGTTCCTGACTCGGAGCACCGCAGGATCAGCTGTTTTTGGCTTTTCTGATTCTAGAAACTTCGAGACATGTCTCCCTCGCTTCATTCTGTCACCTCTCCTTGTCGTTTTCTATGTTTTGCATTTTACAAAAAGTCTTTGCAACTGTACAATTAGGTCCTTTCAGTTTTATTGGAATTTTCAGCATTCTGTCGAAACATGTTTCTACTGACCGAGGTCTTCCAGTGGTGCTCAAAGGTCCAGGCCATCTCCGCTGCGTGGGCGGCTGTGGGGTTTTGACGTGAGCAAGTATGATGGGAATTGGAAAGGGGCGACGGTCGATTTCTTCAGGTGGCTTAGTTGCAAGACGTCACAAGACACTGGTCACATCACCAAATCATAAGTATTGAAGATCTGAACATGTATCTGAAGCCTATTTGAAATCTGTCAGCCCCAACGCTTGCAGTGAGGCGGTTGCAACGTTCGGACCCTAAAGATCCTCCGTTTGGGACCTATCATACAGTGAGGGATGAGGAGGGCCTCTACCATTCCACGCTGCAACTCACTGACAAAGCTCGAGCAGCTGCCCGTCTGAAAAAATTGCAATACAAAGGAGAAGGGGCGCGTACCAAAATAGCAGCAGAGCTATCAGCAGCTCGTGTGCTTTGGGATGATCCTCGTATAAGGGAGCAAGCCGCAAAGCTGCGGCCTGGGAAGACAGCTTTGAAGCATAACAAAAACTATTTACAGCACAATGCCAGGCGCAAAGCGCAATGGTTGGGACGCCAGCCGGTGCATAGTGCACAAAAAAAGGCTGAAGCGTAAGAAAGCCTGCGCGCAACGGGCGCAACGGTATGCGGCCTGTGCATAGAAAAGACGCAAAGCAGCGCAGAGCACTTTCACATTTTTTGTACCGAGCTTTGATCATGTACTTCTTTTGGCCCAGCGGTCACGTGGTTTGTTTTGACTAACTGCATCGCTGTCTTGTGACTTCACCAGAAACGATGCGCCGATGCGCAGTGTTGTGAAGCAACTTAGAAAGATACCTGAACCATCCTGAACCACAGGCTTCAGATGCAATTCTTTGACGGCCGGGTGCGGCAGTGCGGTGCCCTACGTGGCAGGATGTCAGAGCTGTGAATCACAGTGAAACATGGTGAAACTGCGACCTGATCAAGCCAACTTATACAATCATATACAATCAACTTAATCATGTGAAATCTCAAAGCAGAAGCTGGCAGAACCTGTGCGTTTTCTGGCAAAAGATGTGTGTCTTATAAATGTAGAGGCTGAGAAAGATTTTCAAGTAAATTAAATAGCAGGTCAGGTGAACAAACCTGAACAGCAAACTTCACTGACTGATTGCTGAGGGGTTCACTCAACATGTTCAAATAAGCCACCAATCCGCCTTCTGCAAGGCATTTGCATGCCTTGTTGGGAAATGGTGGAAGGCATGGCTGCCTTCAACCACAAAACTGGGGGTTCGGTTTTGCACAGATTGGCAGACGGACACACACGTCACTTCTAGGCAGTGCACGATGGGAAGAGAACGTGGCAAAGACATAAGAAGACCATGGATGTAGCAACATATTGGGCACAACGTGCTCTTGTGGCAGTTTTTCTTTGGTCAAGACTCAAACTAGAACAAATGCTGCCATCATAGCAGATATATCATAACTTTAAGTGTTCTGGAACTAGTGCCACGGTTTGTTCCTTGGACATATGTGGGACGATTCTTGCTGCCTTGACACATTGTTCATTCGGCGCTGAATGAGGCAGTGGCTGAAAGCTGCCCTGACCATGGTTCACACGTGTCTCCTGCATGTCTTGGTGTGCAAGTTCCTGACCAGCAGTTCCGACGCTGTCCCACATCAAGAAAAAATCGCACCCGGCGTAACACTTTGGTAACGCTTTGGTTGATCCGACGTAGCTACAGAAAAAGAACTACCAGATTTATTTTTTCTGCAGGTGCACCCTTCACGAGACGAGACAGGACCTGCGGCTCTGGACATTTTGGTGTTTGGATTTGGATGCGTTCATGCACAAGCCGGATCAAGCCGGCAAGTTCACACTTTTGCCGAAAGTTGCGCGTTTCTAGAGTCCGCGCCCCACGGTTTGGAAATGTTTCTCACACCAGTTCCCCTAGTTGGTGGTTGCGGTCTCGACCAATGCTCTTTCGACTTTCTGGCCAATTTCCAAACCACTCTGTATGCGCTTTAATCTATGCTTTGTTTTCTCTCGCTGTTGCGGCCTTCGTAAAGATAAGATAATGCTGAATTGTCCTGGTTTTGGCGCACTTTTGCTGGTCAATAGAGCCGATTTACGGCAAAATCTAAACCCGAATCGATCCAAGCTGATCCCATTCGTATTGGGGCGGGGTGTTCAGTCTGTCAATGAAAAGAAGGGAACGTCAAAGCAATTCAAAGATATCAAAAGCATAAGAAGGAATGGGGTCGCTGAAAATTGTTGAGAAACAGGAGGCTGCGTTGGGCTAGACTACTTGGGGAATGGCATGGAATGGCCAGATCAGAATCATTTTATGTCGAATCATATCGAATCAGTGTCACAGGATCCGGCATGGGGATGCATGGGGTATCAGGTTCCATTAATCAGGTCAATCAGGTCGTATCCGGTTGGGATGGTCACGGTGCAAGGGATGTTATCATGGTCCTTTTTGTCGCATGTGGGACGCTCCAAATGGTGGGTGGAGGAATTACTGTACAGGATCCAAACATATCCAACCCCCTTGCTACTTGGGGCCAATCATTTTCTACGTTCATCCATTTTTCATCATCCGGATTAGAATGGATTAGATGTATCTAGATGTGATTAGGTTGTTCTGCAAGTTGTGAATTCACTCAGGTTTTGCCTGGCCGTTGATTTCTGCCTTTGGAAGTTCACATTGTCTCCCCAGGAGTGAAGAGTTGGTGCGCCACTTATTTTGCACCACCACGGAGCCAAAACGAAAAATATCGAACAAATTGCAAGCCTGTGAGAGCCATGACGGAAGGGTAGAAGCGCTCGGCAAGGCCAGCTTATCTCATGACGTTGCTGAAAGGGTTTGAGTCAAACCCTTTGAGCAACGTCAGTAGACAACATTGACTCGGACATGTCTCATCAGGCGAGCATCAGACGGAAGTGCGCTGTGGTATGCTGCAGTGATTTCTCTTCAACTTGCAGTGCATATATTACATCATACTTTTCAGATCAATGTATATATATTTTATTTATACTATATCATGTTATATATATATATATGTTGCCATGTATGTTATATTATATATATATTATGTACTATCTCAGTTTTATCATTTGTATATTGTGTTAGGTAATATTATATCTTTATATCTCTATATATATATTATATGTTTAATATGATATATGTTATTTACGATATATATTATATTACAATATATTATTTTGCATAATTTATTATATATCAAATGCTATATTTTTTGTATTATGATTTATTTACATATTGAAATTATATAATTTAAACTATAAATTATGGTGTATATATAATGTATGTAGTAAATGTTTAAATCAATTTATATATATATATACATAGGTATACAATGCTGATATAAGGGAATAATAGTAATAATGATAATGATGAAAATGATAATATACAATGATGATAATAGTAATAATAAACATAATAATATTATATATATATGGTTGGAATATAACGGAAAATGGGATAGTTATCAATTATGGTTGATGATTTGCCTATGGGGCTATACGATCAAACATTGGAATGTTTGCCATGCCAAAAAAACATGAACCAACCTTTAGGGATCTAATGGGATATACAACCAAAAAACTGTTTTGTGTCTCCTAGATCCGCCAAGGTTAAACATTGATTGGGGCAAATGAAGATAAACACTGGAGTTGGATCATGCTGGATCATTTGGAGATTGTGAAGTCATTTGCGGTAGCCAAACCCAAAGTCCTGAAAAACAGAAGTGGCAGAGTCAGTGGAAGATTGAAACCAGGCACTCCGAAATCACACAACTTGATCATTTGATTTCCCAACTGTGCTTTATACATGGGGGTGCCTCCTCGACTGAGGGTACTCCGAACCCATGTTTTTTTCAATTTCATTTTTAATCGTCCAATGACTTGCATGATTTGGGGTGTTAGTTCATCCATAATACCATGGTATTTTAATTACTTACATGTCCATGAAATCCATCGCACGTCAGGAGAGGCCACCCAGCACGGCAGACATTAGACCAATGGATGTGGACGGGAACTCAGCACAGCAGCATTTGGTCTGCGGACAATGTGCTTTGATATGGATCAGCTCATTGGAAATTTCCGAAATGTTAAATGACAAACCAATCTGCTGAGACTTCAGGGAGGTGACTTGAGGTTTGACCCATGCTAAAGTATGCTGAAGCGCATGGCATTGTTTGTTGCATCCAGTTTCTGCTGTGCGACTGCTACTGCTACTGCTGGCTTGGCACTTGGTGCTACTTGGCTTCCGAGAATTGTCAACAAGAACAGGCGTCTCAACCGTCAGGTCAGTCAATTGACACTGCTGCATTCAAAGCAGCAGACATACTATACTATGCCATACTATACTGTACTATACAATACTATACTAATACTATACCAATACTATACAAATATTATACAAATACTATACCAATACTAATGCTTTACACTATACTATACACTATGCTATACACTATACTATGCACTATTTTTTTACACTAGACTACACTACACTACACTATACTATACCTATACGATACTATACCTATAAATATAGCTATAACTATTACTATACTATCATTATTACTATACTATAACTATAACTATAACCATAACTATAACTATAACCATAACCATAACCATAACTATTACTATACTATACTTTACTTTACTATAGTATACTATACTATATTATCCTATCCTATCCGATTATCCTATGCTATCCTATGCTATCCTATACTATACTATATACTATACTATACTATATACTATATACTATATACCATACTATACTATAGATTTGGGTATATATTTATATACATAGTAATATATGCATATATATATATATACACAATACACAAATAGTTATTCAAAGGAAGTTTAGGGGGAGAAACTTCCGTGTTACGGACTTTTAGAATGTCAGGGAAAGAGTTAGTCAAAGAAAGAGATAGTCAGGGAAAGAGTTAGTCAAAGAAAGAGTTAGCAAAGAAACAGTTAGTCAGGGAAAGAGTTAGTCAAAGAAAGAGTTAATGATGGAAAGAGTTAGTCAAAGAAAGAGTTAGCAAAGAAATAGTTAGTCAGGGAAAGAGTTAGTCAAAGAAAGAGTTAGTCAGGGAAAGAGTTAGTCAAAGAAAGAGATAGTGAGGGAAAGAGTTAGTCAAAGAAAGAGTTAGCAAAGAAAGAGTTAGCAAAGAAAGAGTTAGTCAGGGAAAGAGTTAGTGAGGGAAAGAGTTAGTCAAAGAAAGAGTTAGTGAGGGAAAGAGTTAGTCAAAGAAAGAGTTAGCAAAGAAACAGTTAGTCAGGGAAAGAGTTAGTCAAAGAAAGAGTTAGTGAGGGAAAGAGTTAGTCAAAGAAAGAGTTAGTCAAAGAAGAGTTAGTCAAAGAAAGAGTTAGTGAGGGAAACAGTTAGTCAGGGAAAGAGTTAGTCAAAGAAAGAGTTAGTGAGGGAAAGAGTTAGTCAAAGAAAGAGTTAGTGAGGGAAAGAGTCAGTCAAAGAAAGCGTTAGTGAGGGAAAGAGTTAGTCAAAGAAAGAGTTAGTCAGGATATATGAGGTAGTCAAAGAAAGAGTTAGCAAAGAAACAAGTTAGTCAAAGAAAGAGTTAGTGAGGAAAAGAGTTAGTCACAGAAAGAGTTAGCAAAGAAATTGTTCCCTCACTGTAAATGGGATTGCAAGTGGTGCTGGTGGAGGAGTTGCCGATGCAGTTTTGGAGGAAGTCTCGCACGAAATGCGTTTTTGACAGATAGCAGATGCATGAAACCCTATGTTTTTCCATTCAAAGTCCGTCCCCGAACCTCGATGATCTACCTCTGCGGTGCGACGGTTGCGAGACGGTCGGTCTCGTGTGTGGTCGGATCGGTCTCGGATCATTCTCGGATCGGTCTCGGATCGGTTCCGCATTGTAAATGGGGTTTCAACTGTGTTTCGTCCATGTGCGGTCGACAGAATTCCTTTGTGATTTGCAACTGTAGGATCGTTCCCTCACTGCAAATGGGATTGCAAGTGGTGCTGGTGGAGGAGTTGCCGATGGAGTTTTGGAGGAAGTCTCGCACGAAATGCGTTTTTGAGAGATAGCAGATGCACGAAACCCTGTGTTTTTCCAGACAAAGTCCGTCCCCGAACCTCCATGATCTACCTCTGCGGTGCGACGGTTGCGAGACGGTCTCGTGTGTGGTCGGATCATTCTCGGACCATGGTCGGATCATTCTCGGACCATGGTCGGATCGGTTCCGCATTGTAAATGGGGTTTCAAGTGTTTTTCGTGCATGCGCGGTCGACAGAATTCCATTGTGGTTTGCAACTGTAGGATCGTTCCCGCAATGTAAATGGGATTGCAAGTGGTGCTGGTGGAGGAGTTGCCGATGGAGTTTTGGAGGAAGTCTCGCACGAAATGCGTTTTTGAGAGATAGCAGATGCACGAAACCCTATGTTTTTCCATACAAAGTCCGTCCCCGAACCTCGATGATCTACCTCTGTGGTGCGACGGTTGCGAGACGGTCTCGTGTGTGGTCGGATCGGTCTCGGATCATTCTCGGATCGGTCTCGGATCGGTTCCGCATTGTAAATGGGGTTTCAACTGTGTTTTGTCCATGTGCGGTCGACAAAATTCCATTGTGATTTGCAACTGTAGGATCGTTCCCTCACTGTAAATGGGATTGCAAGTGGTGCTGGTGGAGGAGTTGCCGATGGAATTCCATTGTGATTTGCAACTCTAGGATCGTTCCCTCACTGTAAATGGGATTGTATGTGGTGCTGGTGGAGGAGTTGCCGATGGAGTTTTGAAGGAAGACTCGCACGAAATGTGTTTTTGAGAGATAGCAGATGCACGAAACCCTATGTTTTTCCATACAAAGTGCGTCCCTGAACGTCGATGATCTACCTCTGCGGTGCGACGGGTGCGAGACGGTCTCGTGTGTGGTCGGATCATTCTCGGATCATTCTCGGATCATTCTCGGATCGGTCTCGGATCGGTTCCGCATTGGAAATGGGGTTTCACCTGTGTTTCGTGCATTTGCGGTCGACAGAATTCCATTGTGATTTGCAACTGTAGGATCGTTCCCGCAATGTAAATGGGATTGCAAATGGTGCTGGTGGATGAGTTGCCGATGGAGTTTTGAAGGAAGTCTCGCACGAAATGCGTTTTTGAGAGATAGCAGATGCACGAAACCCTATGTTTTTCGATACAAAGTGCGTCCCCGAACGTCGATGATCTACCTTTGCGGTGCGACGGGTGCGAGACGGTCTCGTGTGTGGTCGGATCATTCTCGGATCGGTCTCCGATCGGTTCCGCATTGTAAATGGGGTTTCAACTGTGTTTGCGCGTAGTTCTATTGTGTTTTGCAACTTGGTCTCTGCAGATCGCCTTGTAATTAATGGCTGCGTCAAGGTTGCTTCTTGCCACGGCTGCATGCGTAATACTATTGTCTTTTCCAGCTGGATCTCGTAAATCGTATTGGAGTGGCTGCATGAAGGCTGCGACAGTGATTTGTCAGCAGATTTTCTCCATTTTGGCGCCAGTGATTTTCTTTCTAAAAATCCTTTTAAAAAGTGCTTCAAAATCGTCTTTTTTTCGCTCTGGCGTCGAGATCCGGTTTTGGAGCTGCAATTTCCGACCCAGTTGCGCGTATTTCTATTGTGCTTCGCAACTCAGTCTCTGCAGATCGCATAGTAATGGCTGCGTCAAGGTTGCTTCTTGCCACGGCTGCATGCGCAATACTATTGTCTTTTGCAGCTGGACTTCGTAAATCGTATTGGAGTGGGTGCATCAAGGGTTCGACAGTGATTTGTCAGCAGATTTTCTCCATTTTGGCGCTAGTAATTTTCCTTTTAAAAATCCTTTTAAAAAGTGCTTCAAAATCGTCTTTTTTCCGCTTTGGCGTCGAGATCCGGTTTTGAAGCTGCAATTTCCGACCCAGTTGCGCGTAGTTCTATTGTGTTTTGCAACTCAGTCTTTGCAGATCGCATTGTAATGGCTGCGTCAAGGTTGCTTGGTGCCGCGGCTACATGCGTAATACCATTGTCTTTTCCAGCTGGATCTCGTAAATCGTATTGGAGTGGCTGCATGAAGGCTGCGACAGTGATTTGTCAGCAGATTTTCTCCATTTTGGCGCCAGTGATTTTCTTTCTAAAAATCCTTTTAAAAAGTGCTTCAAAATCGTCTTTTTTCGCTCTGGCGTCGAGATCCGGTTTTGGAGCTGCAATTTCCGACCCAGTTGTGCGTAGTTCTATTTTGCTTTGCAACTCAGTCTCTGCAGATCGCATTGTAATGGCTGCGTCAAGGTTGCTTCGTGCTGTGGCTGCATGCGTAATACCATTGTCTTTTCCAGCTGGATCTCGTAAATCGTATTGGAGTGGCTGCATGAAGGCTGCGACAGTGATTTGTCAGCAGATTTTCTCCATTTTGGCGCCAGTGATTTTCTTTCTAAAAATCCTTTTAAAAAGTGCTTCAAAATCGTCTTTTTTTTCGCTTTGGCGTCGAGGTCCGGTTTTGGAGCTGCAATTTCCGACCCAGTTGCGCGTATTTCTATTGTGTTTCGCAACTCAGTCTCTGCAGATCGCATTGTGATGGCTGCGTCAAGGTTGCTTGGTGCCGCGGCTGCATGCGCAATACTATTGTCTTTTGCAGCTGGACTTCGTAAATCGTATTGGAGTGGGTGCATCAAGGGGTCGACAGTGATTAGTAGTAGTGCCGGGAATTGATTAATGAAAGCTTAATAGATAAATTATGAGAAGGGACGAGATGAGAAGAGATGAGCTGGGATAAGGTGAGAAGAGCTCAGATGAGATGAAGTGTGGAGTGTGAAGAGTGCAGTGTGAAGTGTGGGGCGTGAAGAGTGCAGTGTGAAGTGTGAAGTTTGGAGTGTGAAGGAAGCAGTGAGAAGTGAGAAGTGTGAAGTGTGGACTGTGAAGTGTGGAGTGTGAAGTTTGGAGTGCAAAGGGTGCAGTGTGAAGTGTGGAGTGTGAAGAGTGCCGTGTGAAGTGTACAGTGTGAAGGAAGCAGTGGGAAGTGAGAAGTGTGAAGTGTGGAGTGTGAAGTTTAAGTTTGGAGTGCGAAGAGGGAGTGTGAAGTGTGAGGTTTGGAGTGTGAAGGCAGCAGTGAGAAGTGAGAAGTGTGAAGTGTGGACTGTGAAGTGTGGAGTGTGAAGTGCGAAGTGAGAAGTGTGAAGTTTGGAGTGTGAAGGAAGCAGTGAGAAGTGGTAAGTGTGGACTGTGAAGTGTGAAGTGGGAAGTGTGAAGTGTGAAGTGTGAAGTTTGGAGTGTGAAGGAAGCAGTGAGAAGTGAGAAGTGTGAAGTGTGGACTGTGAAGCGGGAAGTGTGAAGTGTGGAGTGTGAAGTGCGAAGTGTGAAGTTTGGAGTGTGAAGTTTGGAGTGTGAAGGAAGCAGTGAGAAGTGAGAAGTGTGAAGTGTGGACTGTGAAGTGTGAAGTGTGAAGTGTGGACTGTGAAGTGTGAAGTGTGAAGTGTGGAGTGTGAAGTGTGAAGTGTGAAGTGTGGAGTTGGAAGTGTGGACTGTGAAGTGTGGACTGTGAAGTGTGGACTGTGAAGTGTGGAGTGTGAAGTGCGAAGTGAGAAGGAAGCAGTGGGAAGTGAGAAGTGTGAACTGTGAAGTGTGAAGTGTGGAGTGTGAAGTGTGGAGTGTGAAGTTTAAGTTTGGAGTGCGAAGAGCGCAGTGTGAAGTGTGAAGTGTGAGGTTTGGAGTGTGAAGGCAGCAGTGAGAAGTGAGAAGTGTGAAGTGTGGAGTGTGAAGTGTGAAGTGTGAAGTGTGGAGTGTGAAGTTTCGAGTGCGAAGTGTGGAGTGTGAAGTGTGAAGTTTCGAGTGCGAAGAGTGCAGTGTGAAGTGTGGAGTGCGAAGTGTGGAGTGTGAAGACTTGCTTCGTCTCTCGCTGAAAAAAAAAGCCGCTTGTCGAGTGAAGGACACGGTCGGGACAGGTTGTCTTTGAACTATAGGTCATTTATGTTTGGGAAACTTCCGCCGCCGGCTTGCCCGGGTCTATGTTATAATTATAGTATTTTACGCAATCAGAATCGAAAGCGGCAATGTCACAGAAGTTGGCACCTCTTGCGATGTTGAGGACTCGGTCAGCACTCGCGACGGGAGTCGCAGTCCAGAGGGATGTGATGTTTTGGAAGGTCAGCATCCCAGATGCCGAGGGAGATCGAAGGACAGCAGATACTGCCATAGGTGGAACAAACCGATGGTTGCATGGTCTTGATTGGTATGGTTTCAAACCAACTATGGCTAGCAGCTATCTGTTAAGCAACACTATTTGCTGCGTAACATGGAATGACTGTGCAGCATACTAAATATACACCATATGGTCGCAACGGTTCCAATTTTCAATGCCTATCCTTTATATGTATCTCGGCTATCTCCATTTTCCTCTCACAGTATGTATGCTACAAGGTCGCCTCTCGTTTGGTGGAGAGGATTGTTGCAGGTTTCTTGCCACCAAATACATTTGTATGTTGACGCAGTACCGGCATCCAACATACTTCTGTCCTGCATTCAGATGACATTCAGATTCTCTTGAGCTTGGAAACCACTTTGCAAATTCCGGGGTATGCGTCAATCCCCAGCTATCCCCAGCTCAACAATATATATATAATTATATATATATAATTATATACACATACATGTGTATATATATATATGTGTGTGTGCATACACAAAAATACATATATATATATATATACGTATAAAACACATGCATACATACGCACGAGATGCTTTCAAAGCCGGCCTTTTGTTGTTTGAGTTGCCATGAGTTGCCCAAAGCAATCTCTTTGCCTTTTCTTTGACCTTTTCAGCTTGTCTTGATTAAGTTCTGTTACGAACATAGCCACCGAATCGCAGGCCCAGACTGATTGAATCATTCGAGCATGTCATCCTGTGATATCCTGTGCATATCCACACCTTTCCAACGGATACTGGAGTTGCAGAGCATTGTGGATGAACGTGCGGATAGCGAGGAAACCTCATTGTGGAACCACCCAAAGGGGCGATTCTGCATGAGTTTGTTTCATATTCCATAGGTGAAAAACGATTAGTTACTGCACTTATGCATCCAAGCAAAGGTACCCTTCCTAGTTGAATGGATATCTACTTCGACAGTGAAAAATAGGACCACTGGAACGTTGTGACATGCACGGAACCTAGCAGCATCTACTTGTGGATGTGTACACCCCAGACTTTCACTACCCCATAATCAATCATAAGCAGACTGGCAGACTGGCCTGCATTTTGGACTTCTGTTTGACCTGAAAGTGATTCAAGATCTGCTTCTGAACCCATCACGACCCCATCATTCAGCATCAACCCGGCCTTTCGCAGTCAAACCGGGACGTGAAGAGGACGGGATCGACCTTTGGCGTTTTGAAATTGGAGTCCCCAGAATCCGGGCAAAATGTTTCTCGTTCCAGAGATCAATGCTGAAAATGCTAGGCCGTGTTTTCAAACATGGTTTGAGTACAAGACCAACAAATTCCATTCCTGGCACTCTGTTGCAGTGTTTCAGCAAAAAGCCTCTGCATCAGTAGCGGAGAAATGGTATCCGACAAACCTAGTAATAGAAGCGGAATCACGTTCCGCTTGACAACTGGTTCGTGTCTTAGGCGCGAAGTGTCATAGTTATTGCTATCCTTTAGCTATTGGTTAGACATTTGCCAAAACATTGTTACGAACATCCGACCTTGATTTCCTTGGTGGGCCATTGGATGTGCATCCCAGTTGGAATATATGGGACACTTGTAATCCCTCAAAAGGTATTTTTCCATGCCTGAAAAGTCAGAAGAAGAAGTAAATAGAATAAGTACAAGTACAAAAGTAGAAGCAGAAGAAGAAGTAAAAATAGAAGTAGAAGAAACAGAATAAGTACAAGTAGAAGCAGAAGAAGAAGAAGCAGAAGTAGAATAAGTACGAATACAAGTAGAAGCAGAAGAAGAAGACAAAGTAAAAGTAGAAGAAGTACAAGTACCAGTAGTAACAGAAGCAGAAGGCGAAGAAGAAGAAGAAGGAAACGAAGTAGAAGAAGAAGAAGAAGAAGGAAACGAAGTAGAAGAAGAAGAAGAAGAGGAAGAAGAAGAAGAAGAAAACGAAGATGAAACACCACCAGCTCGCAAAAACCACGGTCTAGTCACTAGCTAGTGGGAAGTTGGACTGCAAAAACGTATAAGAAACCAAGAACAAAAAGAAACAACACAAAGAATGAAATCTCAAACCTTCCCGGTGATGCGAAGAGATCTGTAAAACTGGGGCACTTCATTGGGCTTAGTGGGAGCTGCTGAGTAATATGTTACCATTATTTGACATTTTTTTACGCTTCGTATTTGGCGTGTCGGGAGCAACCCTGATTTTGGGCACACAAATTGTGGTTTCAATGGAGTTGACTAGGCTTTCAAAGGATATCCGATACATTCTTGATGAATTTAATCGATATTCAAGGGAATAAATCTGAATCAGATCAGGATCATCCCCAAGTGCACGCTGCTGGTAGCTCTGCTTCCATTTTGGTGCTGCCAATTTCTCCTCTGCACTTTCTTTTCCCCAAACGGGCAGCCGCTTGAGCTGCCGCCTTCGAAGACTAAGGCTCAGAAGCGGAAGAGATTTTGTCAAGAGCGAAAAAGCAAACGCACAGCGCGACGGTATGGGACGCCAGCGATGATTGGCGCGGCGGGTGCATGTTACACCATGAGTGCTTTGCTTGCTCCAAAACGTGCTACATCTTGCTATGTGATGTACGTGCCTTGCCCCGCAGGCGGGCCCATTGCCCCAGCCGGATGCTCAGCCAATGCTCTTGGGCACTGCGTTTGCGGTGACCAAGAGCACCTGGGGGAAAGCGTCAAACTCAGTGGTTGCTTCCCGCACGATTCTTTTTGTAACAAACCTTGGAGACGTGCCTCAAAATTTAGCAAAGGTCCATTCGACCTTGGACCTTGGTGAAACTGCTGTTTTTGTTGAACTTTGTCTTCCCGAGGTTTTGTTCTCGGATTTTCGGGGACATTGGTCTCGGCCACAGAGCATCCTGGTCATTCTTTTTCCACCAGCTACACGAAAAGAAGTAGCATGCTTCTTGTTGAGATTCCTCATCAATTTTCAGATAATGGAAGTCAAAAACTCCAAAGCACCCTCCATCTTGAACGCACGTCTCGATCATAAATTTCAGTTCTATCACAGGCAGTTTAATGCACGAACCACAACACACACACAAATAGAACTGTTTTCAACCGCCCCAAAAAACAGACAAACACATACGTAGATACCAGTAGTACCGCGCAAGGCGGTGGCGGAAGTTTCAAAAATAGGAAACTTATAGGAGAGGTTGTTTGTTGTGAATCAGGGATGGCAGAGCGAAGCCACTGATGGAGCGAAAGATTATTGATCTCTCTCACTATTTCTCTCTCTTTCTCTGACTACCTACCTACCTACCTACCTATCTTATCCTATCCTATCCTATCTATCTATCTATCTAT